CCAAAGGAAAACTAGACCCGACCAAATCAAAACAACTAAACCACGACCATGGGAAAACTAAACCCGACCACCGGAAAACTAAACACGACCAGGATAACACTGAACCCGACCAAAGGAAAAACTAAACCCGACCAGGGGGAAACTAAACCCTACCACAGGAAAACGAAGCCCTGACAAAGAAAAACTAAACCCGACCGAAGGAAACGCTAGATACGACCGCAGTGAAAAATACACCCGACCAGAGGAAACTAAACCCGACCAAAGGAAAAAACTAAACCCGGCCAGAGGAAAACTAACCCCGACCAAAAAAATGAAACCGACCATAGAAAAACTGTGCCCGACCGAAGGAAAAACTAAACCCGACCAGAGAAAAACTAAACCCGACCAACGGAAAACTAAACCTGACCAGAGAAAAACTATGCCCGACCAAAGGAACAATTACACCCAACCAAGGGAAGACTAGACCCGACCAGGGAAAAACAAACGCCGACCAAAGAAAAACTAAACCCGACCAAAGGGAAAACTACACCCGACCATGGGAAAACTCGACCCGACCAAAAGAAAAACTACACCCGACCAAGGGAACGCCACGCTCGACCAGAGGAAAAACTAAGCCCGACCAAAGAAAAAAACACCAGACCAAAAGAAAAACTAGACCCGACCACGGAAAACATTAAACCCGACCAAGGGAAAACGAGACCCGACCAAAAGAAAACTAGACCCGACCAAAAGAAAACGAACCCCGGCCAGTGGAAAACAAAAAAACTAAACCCGACCAAAAAAAAAACTAAACCCGACCAAGGGAAAACTAAACCCGGCAGTTGAAAAACAACTAAAACCGACCAGGGAAAAAGTAGACCCGACCAAAGAAAAACTAGACCCGACCAGAGAAAAACTAAACCCGACCATGTTTTTTATATAAAAAACTAAACCCGACCAAAGGAAAAACTACACACGACCATGGGATAACTAAGCCCGACCAAGGGAAAACTAGACCCGACCGAGGAAAAACTATACCCGACCGAAGGGAGAAAATAAACCCGACCAAAGGAACACGAACGCCGACCAAAGAAAAATACACCCGACCAAAGGAAAACTAAACCCGACCTGGGGGGGAACTAGACCCGACCATGGGAAAACTAAACCCCGACCAAGGACAAATTAAGCCCGACCCGAGAACAAGTAGACCCGAACAAAAGAAAAACTAAACTCGACCAAGGGAAAACTACGCCCGACCAGGGAAAACTCTACCAGACCAAACAAAAACTAAACCCGACCAAAGGAAAAATAAACCCGACCAGGGGGAAACTGGACCCGACCAGAGGAAAACTAGACCCGGCCAAAAAACAGTGACACCCGACCGAAAGAAAAATTAAACCCGACCAAAAGAAAACGCAAGCCCGAACCGGGGGGGAACTACGCCCGACCTGAGAACAACTCAACCCGACCAAAGGAAAAACTACACCCGACCAAGGGCAAACTATGCCCACCCAGAGAAAACCTACACCCGACCAAAGAAAAACTAAACCCGACCACAGGAAACGCTAGACCCGACCACAGGAAAACTATACCCGACCGCAGAGAAAAACTAAACCCGACCAAAAGAATAACTAGACCCGACCAGGGAAACATTGAACCCGACCAAGGGAAAACTAACCCCGACCATGGACAGACGAGACCCGACCAGAGAAAACTAAACCCGACCAAAAACTACGCCCGACCACGGGACAACTAAACCCGACAAAGAAAAAACAAAACCCAACCAAAGAAAAACTAGTCCCGACCGAAAGAAAAACTACACTCAACCATAGGGAAAACTAGACCCGACCAGGGAAAAACTAAAGCAGACCAACACAAAACAACTAAACCCGACCAAAAGAAAACTACGCCCGACCGGAAGATAAGTAAACCCGACCAAGGAAAAACTCGACCCGGCCAAAAGAAAAACTAAACCCGACCGAAGGAAATGCTAGATACGACCGCAGGGATAAATACACCCGACCACAGAAAACTAACACCGACCAAAGGAAAAAACTAAACCCGGCCAGAAAACAACTAACCCCGACCAGACAAAAATGAAACCGACCATAGAAAAACTATACCCGACCGAATGAAAAACTAAACCCGACCAGAGAAAAACTAAACCCGACCAACGGAAAACTAAACCTGACCAGAGAAAAACTATGCCCGACCAGAGGAAATTACACCCAACCAAGGGAAGACTAGACCCGACCAGGGAAAAACAAACGCCGACCAAAGAAAAACTAAACCCGACCAAAGGGAAAATTACACCCGACCATGGGAAAACTCGACCCGACCAAAAGAAAAACTACACCCGACCAAGGGAACGCCACGCTCGACCAGAGGAAAAACTATGCCCGACCAAAGAAAAAAACACCAGACCAAAAGAAAAACTAGACCCGACCACGGAAAACATTAAACCCGACCAAGGGAAAACGAGACCCGACCAAAAGAAAACTAGACCCGACCAAAAGAAAACGAACCCCGGCCAGTGGAAAAAAAAAAACTAGACCCGACAAAAAAAAACTAAACCCGACCAAGGGAAAACTAAACCCGGCAGTTGAAAAACAACTAAACCCGACCAGGGAAAAACTAGACCCGACCAAAGAAAAACTAGACCCGACCAGAGAAAAACTAAACCCGACCCAAAAAAAAACAAACAAAAAAAAAGAGAGAGAGAGAGAGAGAGAGAGAGAGAGAGATGGAGAGAGAGAGAGAGAGAGAGAGATAGAGAGAGAGAGAGAGAGAGAGACCAAAGGAAAAACTACACACGACCATGGGAAAACTATGCCCGACCAAGGGAAAACTAGACCCGACCGAGGAAAAACTATACCCGACCGAAGGGAGAAAATAAACCCGACCAAAGGAACACGAACGCCGACCAAAGAAAAATACACCCGACCAAAGGAAAACTAGACCCGACCTGGGGGGGAACTAGACCCGACCATGGGAAAACTAAACCCCGACCAAGGAAAAATTAAGCCCGACCAGAGAACAAGTATACCCGAACAAAAGAAAAACTAAACTCGACCAGGGGAAAACTACGCCCGACCAGGGAAAAACTCTACCAGACCAAACAAAAACTTAACCCGACCAAAGGAAAAATAAACCCGACCAGGGGGAAACTGAACCCGACCAGAGGAAAACTAGACCCGGCCAAAAAACAATGACACCCGACCGAAAGAAAAATTAAACCCGACCAAAAGAAAACACAAGCCCGAACCGGGGGGGAACTACGCCCGACCTGAGAACAACTCAACCCGACCAAAGGAAAAACTACACCCGACCAAGGGCAAACTATGCCCACCCAGAGAAAACCTACACCCGACCAAAGAAAAACTAAACCCGACCACAGGAAACGCTAGACCCGACCACAGGAAAACTATACCCGCCCGCAGAGAAAAACTAAACCCGACCAAAAGAATAACTAGACCCGACCAGGGAAACATTGAACCCGACCAAGGGAAAACTAACCCCGACCATGGACAGACGAGACCCGACCTGAGAAAACTAAACCCGACCAAAAACTACGCCCGACCACGGGAAAACTAAACCCGACAAAAAGAAAACAAGACCCAACCAGAGAAAAACTAGTCCCGACCGAAAGAAAAACTACACTCAACCATGAGAAAAACTAGACCCGACCAGGGAAAAACTAAAGCAGACCAACACAAAACAACTAAACCCGACCAAAAGAAAACTACGCCCGACCGGAAGATAAGTAAACCCGACCAAGGAAAAACTCGACGCGGCCAAAAGAAACACTAAACCCGACCAGGGGAAAACTAAACCCTGCCGAAGGAAAAATAAACTCGACCGAAGGAAAACTAGACCCAACCAAAAGAATAACTAAACCCGACCAGAAAGAAAAAAAAAAAAAAAAAAAAAAAAAAAAAAAAAAAAAAAAAAAAAAAAAAAAAAAAAAAAAAAAAAAAAACGACCAGAGGAAAAACTTGACCCGACCAAGGGAAAACTAAACCCGACCAAAGGAAAAACAACAACTAGACCCGACCAAAGGCAAACTTACCCCGACCAGGGAGAAACTAAACCCGACCAAGGGAAAACTAAACCCGACCACCGGGGAAAACTAAACCCGACGAAGGGAAAACTAAACCCGACCAAGGAAAAACCAGACCCGACCAAGGAAAAACTAAACCCGACCAAGAGAAAAACTGAACCCGACCAGGGGAAAACTAAACCCGACCAGGGAAAAACTAGACCCGAGCAGAAAAAAAAAAAACTCAACCCGACCAGGGGGCAACTAATGCCGGCCGCGGGAAAACTAGACCCGACCAGAAAAAAACTAAACCCTACCAAAAGAAAAACTAAACCCTACCTATGGAAAACTAGACCCGACCGGAGAAAAACTAGACCCATCCATAGAAAAATTATACCCGACCAAAGGAAGAACTAAACCCGGAGGAAAACTAAACCCGATCAAAGAAAACTAAACCCGACCAAAAGAATAACTAGACCCGACCAGGGAAAAAGTCTTTTCCCGATAACTAGACCCGACCGCGGAAAAACTACACCCGACGAAAGAAAAACTAGACCCGACCAAGGACAAACTAGACCCGACCAGAGGAAAACTACACCTGACCAGGGAAAAACTAAGCCCGACCAGAGAAAACTCAACCCGACCAAAGGACCAACTAAACCCGACCAGGGGAAAACTAAACCCGACCAAGGAAAAACTAAACCTGACCAAAGAAAAACTAGGCCCGACCAAAGGAAAAACTATACCCGACCATGGGAAAACTAGACCCGACCATGAGAAAGCCAAGCACGACCATAGGAAAACTAAGCAGGAGACGTGGGATATTGCAACCAATACCATGAGAACATGACGGAACATAACCACACATAGCATGATTGCGCCGATGGCGATGACGACGGCGACGTCGCGACCGCCGCGACCTGCGGCGATGGCAGCGGCGGCTGCGACATCTATATGTCCGAGCCGAGCGCTGCCGCAGAATTCACGCCTCAGAAGAGCCGACGCCGCCGACAGCCGCGGTGCCTACATCGCTGTCGCGCGCCGCCGCATAACTCACCCCCCAGAACCGATGCCACTGGGCCCCATCTCGGAAACGAATGCTCGAGCGACCTCTCGCGCGGCAACGGGCGCGCCAGAGGCAGCGTCGTGGCGCGCCAGAGGCAGTGCGTCAAATGCCCGCCTACTCGTCGTCCGAGCTCGCGCCCCCCCCCCCCCCTCCTCCTCCCCCCTCATCCTCGCCGTCCCCGGCCACTGGCATCAACAGACGTTTCGCCTCCATCATGGTTCCGCTGAAATACTTGCTGGCTTTCTCGACGAACTCGGCGTCGCCGCCCAATTGCTCCGCGCACCCCTCGTCGTGGCCCGCTTTGTGCATCGCGCGCCTGCCCACGACGGAGTCGAGCCAGTCCCGGCGCGCATCGTTGGCAGCGATGCCATCGCACTCCATTGCGCCAGAGGCAGCAACAGCCAAAGCACCAGAACCTGGAGTGAAGTCCGCGACGCGGGTCACTTTGTGGTGCTCCACGAGAGTCTGCCACAAGCTGAGCGGCTTCACCTCGCTGTGCGAGAACGGGTGGCCCTTCGAGTCGATGTCCCCCTGCAGGCGCGGATGCCCCCCGTCGACGCTAGCGCAAGATGCAGCTCCCAAGATGCTCGTCTTCGTCTCGTGGCCCATGCGAGGGGGCTCGGAGAAACGCTGCATTGGGATACCGCTGTATGACGTGTCTGCGGTCGAGGACTCGCCGCGCGCGTTGAACTCCATTTTCTCGCCTTGAGTGGCATCGCGAAAATGGCAGTCTCCCTGTTGTTCTTCGTGTAGCTCGACGCCCTGGCCGCGGGCCGCGGGTCCTCCTCCTTCGTCGGTTGCTCGTGCACGAACCAGCACTCGACGTGCGCGCGGGGACCTCCTGACTCCAACTTCGTTTCGAAGGACTCAATGACCCTGCGGTTCGCGCGGCTCCTGCCGTCGAGGGAGATGAGGATATCATCATTCTGCCTCTTCTGCAAGAAGAACTCGACGACGCGCGTGAACTTCGCCTCGCCACACGCCATCTTCTCGCTCATCCTCGCCTTGCCGCCTTGCTTGACGACGTTGGGCGGGAACGACTCCGCTGAGAGGATGAACGCGCGAACGTCGTTCTTCCTCCTCCCGAAGCGGTGCCCGAGGCTGAGCGCATCCCACAAACTCTGCACCTGCGCCGCTGCGCACTCCGCACCAGAGGCAGCGCCGACAGACGGCAAACTGACGAACTTCACAGTTTTCCTGCGGAACTGCTTGAGCTGCTCCTGGAGCGTCTGGAACTCTTCCTTTTGCTCGCCCCCGAGCTCGGACATCCCCAACAAGCCGACATTTGCATCCAGATCGGGGTCGGCGGGGATCGGCCCGCCCGTGCGCGCGGCCACGAAGGCGCGGTACTTAGAACCAACGCCCTGGCTGGTCTCGGTGAGGTACGTGTGCCAGACGAACCCAGTGGCGCTGTTCTGCAACTCCTGCTGGCCAAGCTCTGCCATTTCGTCGTCGAAAGCGCTCGACCACAGAGGCCACGCGACGTCGATCATCGCCTTCGTCTTGACATCCGCGGTGTTCCGATGCTCAGCCACGTGGAGCGCAAGCAATGTCTCCATCCCGTCGGCGCCGCCGCCTGAGTCGGACGCGCGGTGCGAAGCCGCGAGCCCATCCGCGCCAGAGGCAGCGAACTTCTGGAGGATGTGGAGAGGCGTCTTGAATGCCGCCACGTCGTTCCCCACTTCCTTGTTCATGAGAAACGCCTCGTGGAAGATGCACTCGACGAGCTCCTTTTTCTTGAAGAACGCGTGGGGCATCGCTGGCGTCTTCCTATCGCGCCCGATGACCCGGCTCACGGACAGTTTCTCGCCCTTCGGGACGTCGCCCGCCAAGCGGGCCACGCGGAAACTGTTCGCGACGAAAACGAACAATTCCCTTGCTTTGGCGTCAGAGACAGCCCTCGCGGAGCAGGCGAAGCAGATCCTCATGAGAAGCGCAGGCTCGCGAATCTCTGGGAAATGCACTTCGACCAGCGCGAAAGCCGAACTTCAGGCGCCGTCGAGGACGAAAGGGCGCAGACCTTTCAGCGCCGCGGCGGTTGCAGCGGTGCACGATTTGCCTCTGAACTAGAGGCCGTAGGCCTTCAGCGCAGCCTCCAGCTTCGACGCTGGTTCCTGTTTGGCGAAACAGTTCTCCACGTCGGTCAAGCGGCGCGTTTTTTCTGCGAGCCGCCAGGAGGACTCAGCGCCAGAGGCAGCACGCGCAGAGAACACATTCTCTGAAAATGTCAGAGCGGCCAAGCGGGTCGCGTCGCCATCAGGCAGCAGGCGCATCCTGATGGGCACGGACAACGCGGCATTGAACAGATGCTACACGCGGTCTTCGTTGGACTGCTGGAGCGCCTCGCCCGCAGCAGCATGCCACGTGATGACCACCGCGCGCCCTGCGAGCATGGCCAGAGCCTCTGTCAAGTAAACTCCAGGCTTGTTAGGCTCAAGCCGCTGGGCGACCTTGACGTCGACCACTGGGGCGGGGACAGGCGCGTCGAATGAGAGGCGCCGCGAGGGCGCGTGCTTGGAGGAAAGGGAGCGCGCCTCCTCCGACCACGCGCCCATGGCACCCTCGAGCTGGCCCACGGTGACGTCGTCGATGTCCGAGCAAATCGGTCCCAACATCCACGCCGCCCCCGCTGCCTCGTACTCCTCGGCGCGGGAGAAGCTCGCATCCAGGTTGTCGTAGCCCATGACCTCGCGAAACGAACTGAGGTTTGCGCCAGAGGCAGCATCAGTGATGGCCAACGGCGGAATCAAAGAACACTTGGCGGGCATCGCGAAGGACACCTCGCACTTGCCCTGCCAGGAAGCTGAGCAAACTATGGTCGACGTAGTGCTTCGCTCGGCGCACCCACTCCTTGACGTGACCCCGCTGCATCGACGCGTGGTCCGTCTCGAGGAGCTGCGCGACGCACAGGGCCGGCGGCGCGCCAGAGGCAGCGGCGGGCGGCGCCCCAGAGGCAGCGGCGGGCGGCGCGCCAAAGGCAACGGCTGGTGAGGCCGCCGCGGCCGCCGCCTTCTTCGCAGGCGACAGGGCCCCCGCGTCGCCTGCCCTCTTGCCCATGGCGGCCCCTAGTGGTTGGGGGGGGGCGCGACAAGCAAAAGCGAGCTACTCGCGTCCGACAGCCGAAACCGCTGTGGATGATGACGATGATGATGATGGTGATGGTGATGTTGATAATGATGGGGCTCGCGATGATGGCGATGGTGGTCATGATGATGGTGATGACGATGATGACAACTGCTGGTTGCGCGATGACGGTGATGATGCTAATGACGGTGAGGACGATGGTGTTAGCGACGCTGCAGATCCCTAATACGATGCCCCCCGCGGTGGACCTGTCAGGGAGCAGCGCCGAAGACCAGCCCCAAGGCCAAGGCAGCGGTGGCGCGGGGGAGCCCCAAGGCCAAGGCCGCACCGGCGGGCGGCGCTGTCGATGGCCGCCGTGGCTTTCCTGGCGCCCCCTGGTCGTCATCGGGGTCATCGGAGCTCGACGAGCCGCCGGCTATCCCCAATCCGACCCTCGCGGCCAAACTACGGGGGGCTGTCGCGGAGGCCCGCGACTTCGTTCGGCCTCCGCCTGCGGCAGCCCAGAAATCGCTGGAGCAGCAGCTGCAGCTGGCCACCGATCGGCGCATCAACCTCCAGCGCCAGCTGGTTGATGCCGCCGACGCCCTGGCTGCGGCGGAGGAGCAGCTGGGCGAGCGCCGAGGCCGGCGCGACACCGTCGCAACCAGCCTGGCAGAGGCCCAGGCGGAGGAGGCCCAGCTCCTGCGCAGTCGGGCCCAGGCCTCGGGCATTGCGCAGCCGACTCCCGACGCCTCGAAGTCGGCCACCTTCGCCTTCGACGTGGAGACGCTCGAGAATTTCAGCGAGCTGGAGGAGGAGGCCCAGGCCAACCTTCGCCAGATGCGCGAGGAAAGCCACAGGGCATTGCTTGAGACCCAGGCGGTGTTCGAGCGCAACTTCCAGGAGCAGCTGCAGCGGCTCAAGAAGGGCAGCGAGGAGGCCGCGGCCAGCGAGCGCCGCAAGAGGGGGCGGACCCAGCCTGAAGAGCCCGCAGGGGCCTCCGCTCAGGAGCCAACAACAGCAGCTGCGGCCGAGTACCGGGCAGCCCCCCCCGCTGCCACGGCGACTGCCGCCGCCGCCGCCGCCGCAGGCGGGCCTGCCAGCGGCTCTAGCGGGCGCGCCGCGCAAGCAGCCGAGCTCGGGGCTGCGGCAGCCGAGGCAGCCCGCCTGCGGGCCACCGAGCAGAAGGCGGCCAGTGCACCTGCCGCGCCTGCTGCCGGCGACGGGGCTGCTAGTCAATTCGCAGGGCAGCCCCCTGGCGGAGGGGGGGCGGGCCGCCCTCCTGGTCGGATGCTCGGGCTCAGAACGGGAGAGGTGGCCGCGGCGGTCTCGGCTGGCTTTGGCATCGCCACCTCGAAGCTGCTGGGCTCGGCGAGACACGCCCAGCCTTGGGCTGGCCAGCAGCGCAGGTTCCTCGCCCGCAGGATCGCCTTAGGCAAGGGCACCACCATTGCCATGATCACGGTCTACATCGAGGATTCCGTGGGCCTGCAGGAGTCCAACCGCCAGCTGCTCGCCGACCTCCACGAGCGGCGCGCGAGCTCGGACGACCCCTTCGCGATAGGAGGTGACTGGAACATCGAGGCCTCGGAGCTCTTAGACCCAGGCTGGCCAGCCCTTATCGGAGGGGCTGTGCTGGGCCCAGGGGCAGCTACATGCAATGGCAACCAGTGCGACTACTGTGACCTATCGACGGCATTGGAGGCCATGGCGGGCCCCGTCACGGCCCATGCCGGCACGCCGAACGGCCCTCGCCAGGCGGTTGCCTTAGTTATGCATGGCTGCTGGCGGCGGCCCATGGTGCGGACCCAGAGGATGCCCAAGGCCTTCGAGTTGGAGTACGAGGCCGATTGGCGTGGCCAGAGGCAGGCGGGACCAGTTGGTCGAGTCGCTGGCGCGGCCTCCATCCGACACTGCGCCTGATGGCCCCATCAAAGAATGGTTCACGCAAGCGGAGCTGGCGTTGCAGGCGCTCCATGGGATGCCCGAAGACGAGGCCCGCTATTTCAACGGCAGGGCCGAGGGCATCTGGGCGATCACGGCCCCGCTCGAGGTCAAGGTGCACGCAGGCAGGCCGGGCAAGGCCTCGCCCATCGCCCAGCGCTGGCTCTCCCTCCGCCACCTCGCTAAGCGCAGGTGGGAGCTGGGCCCGGGCTGCTCGGCAGACGGCTACAAGCCCCGACGAGGGCAGCAACTGCGAGCAGGGGCGCTCCGCCTTCGAGGCGAGTTTCAAGACCTGGGCATAACCGTGTTCGACGGCTCCAGCCTCGGCAGCCCCCGGGAAGAAGTCAGCCTGCAGGCCGCCGCGGGCTACGACCTCATGGCCATGATCGAGCAGATTGCGGTCAGACATGCCAAAGAGGACACCCAGGCCAGCAAGTTGAAGTGGGGCGAAAAAACCGAGCTGGCCTTCGAGCGGCAGGGGCCCATCGACCGCGAGGTCTCGAAGAAGACCCATGCCGAGCCATTGCCCATCCATGAGAAGGACTCCGCCGACGCTGCCCTCGTCGGACAGCCTGCGCTGAAAGGGGGCCCTCGAGGACTGGCCCCCTCTCCTGGCAGGGCCAGCGCGGGCGAAGCAGGAGCGCCCCATGGCCTGGAAGACTGGGGACTGGACGCTCAAGCCCATCACAATCGATGACATGGCCCGCGAGTTCCCCAAAACCACGGGCCTGGGGTGGGGCACCTTCCATCCTCGACTGCTACTGGAGGTCGGCGACGATATCCTGTTCAGGCTTGCCAGCATGCTCAATTCTTGGGGGCGCAACCCGCAGCGCGGCCAGCTCTGGGCCACCATCGTGGTTTTCATTCCGAAGCCTGACGGCGGCCAGCGGCCCATCGGGCCCATGCCGATGCTCGCCAGGCTCTGGCCCCGCAAACGGCAGAGGGACTGTGCAAAGTGGGAACGGCCCATCGACCAGCAGGCCTTCTGGGGCAACTCCTCATCCCGAGGGTGTGACAAGACAGCCTGGCTCCACAACAGTTTCGTGGTCCACGCGAAGTCCTCCCGCGAGGAAGCTGGGTCCTTCTACGCCGACTTATCCGAGTACTGCGAGCACATCGGGCATTTCGAGCTCAAGGTTGCGGCGCAGGCGTGGGGCTTCGACCTGGGTCTGCTGAGGGCGCTGTGCTGCGCGCATCGGGCCCCTCGGAGGGCCCGCATCGGCACCTGCCTCAGTGGCGCCGTCTATGCGAGTGGCACGGTGGTGGCAGGCTGCTCGTGCGCTACGGCATTGGCCAAGCTCCTCCTCAGTTCGGTCCTCAGGGCAGCGGCCTCGGCGGCTCCCATCGCCAGGATCCTCAGCGCGGTCGACGATGTCTCGTGCCATGCGACTGGGCAGCGCACCATGGTCGCACAGCAGCTGGCCGCTGCCTGTCGCGCCTTCTGCGCGAAGACGGAGGAGAACAACCTGCCGCTCAGCAGGAGCAAGACCAAGGCGCTGGCTACCAGCAGCAAGCTACGCGACGCCCTGAGGAGCCAGCCTGGATGGGACCTCGCGGAGGGCGACTTCGTGGACGTTCACAGGGACCTGGGCGGCGACGCAGTGTCGGGTTCCTACATGACGTGCAACGACCTCAGCGGCTCGGGAGAAGGCCGCTCGATGCCAAGGGAGGAAGCTCACCGAGCTTTTCAGTCCCGTCGATCAGCCGAGCAAGGGTCTTCAGAGCTGGCCCAACAGCGAAAAGCTTCCTGGGCCTCGGCGATCACGGGGGTGCCCAACAGCCGCCTTCGTCGGCTGCGCGCTGGGGCCATCAAGGCCAGAGGCCGACTGGCCCGCCGGGCTGCCCTGGCTCGCCAGCCTTGGCCAGTCCGGCAGCTGGAAGCGGGACCCCTGCCGATCGCCACCATGACGGCGATGATGGACTACGTCGAGATGATCTGGGCCCCCCTGCCCCCCGAGGGGGCGGCCCGTCCCTGCGTCGCCGCCAGCCTGTGCCGCCATGAAGATGCACCCCTGGCGCCTGCTGAAGGAGCCGATCAACGCCTTGGTGTTCACGCTCGAGCGGGCCGGCTGGGGACTCATCAACGGCGACCCCTATAGGCTCCATGACGCGCTGGGCCACGAATACCCCGTACGTTGCTACTCGCCAACTTTCTTCGGCCACATGGTCTCCCAAGACTGCCGATGGGCCATCGGGCTCGAGGAGGTGAAGCGGCAGGGCTCCAGCATGTGGGGCTGGGAAGTCCCACCCTTCTGGCAGCCGGTCCTCGACCTGGTCAGCCACCGCTCTGAGGTGTGGGATCTGCACCACCAGAGGGCGCTGCGCTGCCTCATCCAAAACACCTACTGGTGCCAGGCCAAGGTCGGAGCGGAGGATCCCTCCGTCCCGAAGAACTGCCAGCTCTGCGACCACCCAGTCAGCACCCTCTTCCACAGGCGGTTCAGGTGCGAAGCTCACGATGGCTGGAGGCGCGATTTCCTGGAGCCGCTGCTGCGGGACGCAGCTGCACGTGTCGAGTTCTTGGGCTACCCTTTCACGGAGCTGTTCGCTAGGGGGCTGTTTCCCGACGTCTCCGAGCTGATCCAGAGAAGGCCCCTTTGTTCCAACGACTTCTTCAAGGACACGTCCTGCTGGCCTACCTTTGGGCCCTTCGCCGACGGGGAGCACGTCATCGTGGACGGATCATGGCTCGATCAGAGCTACCCGAGCCTGAGGACAGCTGGATGGTCCATCGTCGTCTTTGACAAGCACCGCAGGCTGGTCGCTGAGGCGTGGGGCTCCGTCCCGCTGTCGGAAGGACCCGAGCAGCTGGCCAGAGGCGGAGAGGACTACGCGGTGACGGTCCTCACCGACACAAGCTCTACTGCGGCTGCCTCGCCACAGTGCGAAGTGCTGCCAATCCACTGGCGGCGGCAGCGGCGGGCAGCCAGCGTGCCCACCTCTGGGCTGGACGGGCGGACAGGCTCAAAGACGCGGAGGTCATCAAAGTCAAGGCCCACCTGGGGCAGCAGGCAGTCAGGGACGGGCTGATCACGCAGTTCGAGCTCGATGGCAACGCACTGGCCGACGCCCGAGCTAAAGAAGGGGCCTCGGCGGTCCGAGCGGACGTCAACGACATCTACTGCATCGAGGGCTGCCTCTTCATCGCCCGCCTGGCGGCGAGGTATGCGGCAGCGCAGGAGGTGCACATCGCTGTGTCGGGCCTCCGCGACTCCATGGGGGTCAAGGCCCTGGAGATCATTGACCTGGGCGAGTGGCCCGTCGACCCTGCCGAGGCCTGTGAGGAGGATACGGCCCCGTCGGCTAGCGCGGACCCCATTTGCACTGGGGGGCTCCGCTGCCTGGCCTAGACGGTTCGCTGCGACCATGGCGAGTGTGCGGGCACTCCTTGTTCGCGGCGCCTTCCCTCCCCGAGGCAGGTGAAACGTCGGTCCTTCTGTTCTGCCCTAGTTGTAGAGGTTATGTCTCGGACAAGAACGGACGAGACCTCCAGGACTACTGTCCAGGACGCCCGATTCCGAGTAGTAATAATGAAATTGAAATCGTCCTGGGCAGGCACCCCAAAGGGGGTGCAAAGAGGCTCGGTGAGCTCAGGTCTCCCTCGATGGCCGAGATGTCGTTTTGGTCCGAGCACTTTTCCCTTGTGCGCTCCGACGTGACCCAAGCAATGGCCCCATCGGAGGGCCCGAAAAGGCCTTCGATTCAGGAGGCGCTCCCGCTTTTCGGGCTCCAGCTGGCCCAGGCCCAGCTCTTGGGCTCGAGAGCTCGTGAGGCCAGGACGGGGGCCCTGGCGCCGTCGGCGGGGCCGCGTGGCCTCCCAACCCGATGACCCCGTCGACCCCTGACCGCCGGCTCCTCCCTCGCTGTGGCGTAGGGGCGCTGGGGTCAGGGGCTGGGGGGTCCTCGGGTTGTTTGAGTTTATCTGCATGACATTTCTGGGCCGAATCTAGTCTCCTCCTCCTCCTTCTCGTCCTCCTCCTCTACCGTACCCTCTTTACCTCATCTCCCATCGTTCATCTCTCCTCTTCCTCCGCCTGCTCCTGCTCCTGCTCCTGCTCCTCCTCCTCCTTTCCTCTCTTTCTCCTCATCCCCCTCTTCTCTGTCTCCTCCTCCTCTTTCTCCTCCTCCTCCTCCTCCGCCTGCTGTTCCTCCTGATCCTACTCCTCCTCCTCCTCCTCCGCCTGCTGCTGCTGTTCCTCCTCCTCCTGATCGCAAGCTTCCGCAATTTCCATCGCCCTCTACACCTCCATGAATATCCCTGTCGCTCTTCATATCGATGTTACCCTCTTCTGGTCTATCCCTCTGTGTGTCTGTCTATCTCTCTCTCTCTCACTCTCTCTCTCTCTCTATCCCTCTTCTTCTCTTGTTGCTTATCTATTCCAAGTGTTTTTTTTTCTCTCTCTCTCTCTCTCTCTTTCTCGGTCTGTCTCTCTGCAGACCTCTGTCACGCTATCCTCCCTCGTTGAACCTCCTCATGTCAACACTGGGGCCAAAGGGACGCGCAGAATGCGCTCAGGATACGTGATCTGAAGCAACGAAACGCCTATAAAGATGTCCAGCATGCTGGCCAGGAGTATGCGCCATGGCACAACAACCGCCGATAGAATGGAGGAGGACCCCATGAGCACGAACATTAAGAACAGCTGCCCCGTCACGTTAGGAACGACGGGTATCAGCGCCACCGACAGATTGCGCGAGAGCAGCAGGAACACGTACCAGTAAGTTTGGGGCCGGAACCTGAAGAACAGAAAAGCGAACATCTGCAGGAACTCCGCGTCGCCCGATGCCATGCGAGACGGAAGGCGAAGCACGGCGTACGCGACAGTCGACAAGAACCCCACGGGGATGAGCGCCGCGAGAATCCCGACGATTGCCATGTCGGAATGATCTTCGGAATCGAAGCAGATGATCTCGGGCACAGACTGCACCGTGGACACCCCGTTCGGGTGGACCAGGCACCGAAAGGGCGAGAAGATCGTCGAGGAGATGACGATGAAAAACGCCATGACGATCGTGCCCATGGAGCCGACGAACACTGTGCTGCGTCGAGGGCCCCCGCCCTTGTAGAAGAACAAGCTGTGCACTGTGTGAATAATGAACATCGCCACGAGCAGGACGAAAAACATTACGATCTTCAGGCTGTAATCCCACACCGGGCTCGGATCGATAATGCATCTGAAGCGAAGAATTTCCTGTGAAAGCTGAAAACAGTACCGCTACGCCTCGGACCTTTCCCAAGAGGCGTTCCGACCATGATTCCAAGGCGAATCTGACCGTGGCGACGAGGCTCCCCAAGGAGAAGCAAAAATGCTAGAACGAGGGGGTGTTCTCGGAGTTGCTACGAAAGTATGGCTTTCTCCCTTGGGTTTCCAGCTCGAACGCAAATGCTTTGGCGAAGGCCAGCACGAATTTGAACGGCGAAGGCCACTCAACGTCCAACTGAGACAGCACCGCGAGGATCTGGGCGACCGCGAGGAGCTGACCAAAGATGCTGACGACCAACACCCGCAAATTGTTCTGCGATGCGCGGTTCTCGGTCGCAGTGAAATGGTAGATTGCGATCAGGCCCATGAAAACTGCTACTGCAGCACCTCGACGGCGCCCAAAACACTGACATCGGGTGCTGCAATTTGTTCACACCCGGCGTTCTCGCCCGGCTTTGGGCCCTGGAACCATCATAGATCAATACAGCTCGAAAAACTACAGCATAGAGATGGGGACTCCAGTCGTGATCTTTCCCGATGTTGCAAGATGTTCACAACGAGGGATTTCAGAGAAGGGGGCTGGGCGCGACTCGGTCGGCCTTCTAAGAAGGCAAGGGTCACCTCAGAAGCCCTTCCGCCTTCTCAGAAGTATCCGAACCTAAAAGGCCCCCCCCCCTGTTGTGCGCCGCCGAACACCGAGAGGAACGAGAACCGAAGTCTCCTCGCACTCGGTGCACTCGCCGTCGCCGTTCGGCGCCTTCCCGGCTTCGCACCTCAGGCAGGCCAGGCTCGTGTTCACCCGGTGCTCCCCGCACTGGCCTGGATACCCCCCAGGACACCTCAGGAAGGTGTAGTCCTCGAAACATTCGAATATGGACCCTCGATCGTCTGCAGTTGAATCCACCGACCCCTTCTGAGGAGGTGCCGTTGGAAGAGCGTGTCCAACTGATGCTCTGCCTGAGCCCTACCCCGGGTGGAGTTACTACGATGTCCTGGATAACCAGGAGCGTTAGGAAACCCGCCGACCCTGTCGGCGTGTTGGTCGTGAGAGACGCTGTTCCCCCTTCTCAGCAACTACCTTAGGCTATCCAACCTTGCCAACCCGAAGTGACTCGTGCCACGTCGCAATCTAGTCGAAGCCCCTTCCCTTTGATCCCTTCCCCGCCAGGGGCTGCTGCTAATCTCGGCCAGGAAAGACTCGGCCAGCCTGAACGCGGTCAACTGAATTCGGCCAGGCTGAACTCGGCCGGCTGATCTCCAGCCTGGCCGATTTCAGCTGGACGAACTCAGCCTGGCCGAATCTCGCCTGGCCGAGGCTCTCCCTTGTCCAGGAGGAAGTCCCAAGGAGGTCGCGGGGGGTCCCGGCGGGGGTCCAAGGGAGGGGCCGCGGGAGTCGGGGGAGCACCCCCCCCTGAAGAGGCTTCTCCCCCCACCTCTTTGGAATAATATTCAAGACAGCTTGGCCAACTGTCGACAATTCAAATCAAAGAGGCCCAAGTTGGCCCCATCACGACCCAAGAGGCCTCCAAGACGTCCCAACAGGGCCCCTCGACGAGGGCCCCAATAGGCAAAACCAATGTTAGCTCCTGCTCCCTTCCTCAGTATTTTTCATTGGCTCCGCGCAAACACGGCCCAATCCGAGGCCGCCCCCGGCCCCTGGCGCAGCGGCGCCGCAGGCAGAAAAACAAGCAATAAGGGGTGGGCGGGCGGGACAAGCGGCCCCACCCTTGAGCCCCAAACAGCGGCAGACGCGCGGCGAGCGCGCGCGAGAGTGAGACACGACGATGGGGCACCAGGGAGTCGAACTTTGCTTCGCCTTTGTGAATCCGAGTTAGCTCCTGCCCCCTTCCTCAGTCTTCTTCATTGGCCCCGCGCAAACACGGTCCAATCCGAGGCCGCTCCCGGCTCCAATGCCAATGAAGGAAAAAGGGGGGGCGGCGCAGGAATGCGGCACAACGGCGCCTAATTTTCAGGGCCAGAATCGTCGGCGACCCCCTGCGCCAGCAGGCCGGCGGCCACCTCGTCGCCCGAAACGCACGGGCGGGCAGAGGCTACCGATCGCCAGCCCCCCCGCGCGAGCATGGCTTCCACGCCCGACGCGGCAAGAACGTCCGCGGCCGCGCCCCTCCGGACGTCGCGGCCGAACCACTCCTCGGGATTCGCGACCCCGAGAGCGCGCAGATGGGAACGGAGCTCGGCTGTCCACGTCTCAAGGGCGCATCCGCCAAGCGGGCGGCCACCGAACCCGAGGAGCTCATCCCACACGGGCAGCCACGCGCGCAAGCAGATGCCTTCATCCACCCCGCACGTACAGAAAGCGAAGACCGTGCACAAATCGACCCTCTGCTTCCGGCGAATCGGTCCATACACGAAACGACCGCCCTGCGCCTGCACGCGAGCGCGCGCGCATTGCGCGAACAGCTCGGATGGCATCCGCAAGAGGAAATTATATGCCAGCGCCGCTAAAACACACCACCACTTATGTTGGCGCGACAGCGCGAAGCGCAGCAACTTCCGCAGCAACAGCCTGTCTACGCGCTGCCTGGGCATACGGGGGCCCCGGTTTTTGGCCGTGCCCACCCGAATGCCGCGCAAAATGACGCCCCGATCGCCTTGCCAGGGGACGCCGGCCACCTGGTGCGCTAGGGCCCACGCGCTCAGCCACCCACGCTGTGTGGAGGCACAAGCACAGACAGCAGCAACCCTACGAACATGTTGAACAGAGCACCCCAGCGGAGATTCCCCAAACAATGCGCTCGCCCACGCAATGATACGCAGGTGCGAAGCGCATGTCCGCAGCGTGGACGGTACCGTTTTGCACGGGAACCGTTGTTGCACCACCGAGTCCGCCGCGGTCTGGAGATTGACGCCCGCCGCGCGGGCTTCAGCCAGGGCGGACAACACCTCCCGGGGAGGCGCCCCGTCGGGGTGCCTGTGGCTACAACCCCTGTCTCTGCTAAGCGCGACCATCATGTCCCAGTTGCGCCTGTCTGTCGCTTGGGTAATGGAGTCGAGAACTCCCCAGAACGTGCCCCACAGTGCAGCGGCACCCTGCGGGGCAGAGGCAGCGGCCAGAGACTGCACCCCGCGGGGGCCCGGGCAGGCAGCGCGCGGGTGGCCAGGCGGGCCGCCGCTGCCACCGTGGCCGGCGGAACCAGACGAGCACGCGAGCTGCCCCGCGGCGCCGCGAGCGGACGAGCTAGGCTCCGCGGCGGCCGCAACGACGAGCGCGTCGGAGGGGCCGGCGCCTGCCGCACTGGCCCAACAGCACGCTGCACGGCGGCGCGGGGCCGCTTGGGCGACGGGAACCGCGGCCCCACCCCACGCAGTTTCCTCCTCATGCGCCGGCGGGCGCCGGCGCGCCAGCGGGCGCGCTAGAGCCACACAGCTGCTCCAATCCCTGTTTGCCGGGGCTCCTCGCGCCCACCTCGCCCTCGTCGCGTCGCCGTCATCCTTCCCCGCCTCCGCGCCCAAGCCCGGGGGGAAACGAACATGTTTTATCTATGTCTACGGAGAAACGAGGCGAGGCGCCGGCGAGCCCCCGCGAAAAGAAAAGCCAGGTTTGGCCTCCTGGGGCCACGCAGCGCGCCCCTCGCGCTCTCTTCGCCCTCGGCGCGAGAGCCGCCGACCCGCGTCGACCCCCCAAACAGCTCCTCAATCCTGGCCGGGGTGCCACAAAAAGAACGGAGAGACCAGCGACATCCCTCGCCAGACAGGCGGACGCGCCGCGTGGATCCAACCCCCTCCAGGGAGCGTCCGGGACTCGGGAGGGGAGGGCAACTATGAAAGGGGAAGAAGGGAGGAGGGGAGGGGGCGGGGACGGAAGCAGGCGGAGGACGAGAGCCAACGAACGACGACGAGACAAGACTTTTTGCGTTTTGCGAGCGCCAGCTTACAGTCCGTGGCAGCGGCCAAAGTCCACCGAAAGCGTCGGCGAAACAGTCGCCACGTCCGCCCCGAGCCTGCGAAGTGCGGCTTCGCCGTCGTCGCGCGAAGACGGGTCGAGCGGATTTGATTGAGTATGTACATATCCGAACCGCGCCCCGATGTCGTAATGATACAACAGCTCGTGGATAGCTCCCACCACGCACGCAACATGTGGGGAGTTGGCGCATCCTTTGATACACCCACTGATGGCTGCCATGTTGTCCCCAAAACAGAACGCGCAGTGAGAGCGCAGCTGGTCGCCCCACAGCTCAAAAGATTTGGCAATCCACCACGCCTCTGCGCCATTGATGGCGCGCTCTTCACACGGACCCAAGTTTGCAAGCACCGGCGGAGGCAAAACGACGCTGAAGCCCGCTCGCAAATTCTGGCTGGGCACGACAAGGAGGGCAGCCGCGCGCTTCGAGGTGAGCGCCGCGTCCCCGTACAACACCGCGACCGGAGCGCCAGTCGGAAGCAGCTGCACCACGCGCGGCGGCCCGTTACGAAGCAAGGCCGCCCAAAGGTGCAACGCTACCTGCACGGGCGGCGGCCGCGCGCCAGCCTTCTGGATTGTATACATGTTCCCTAGCGCCTCAAGAAGCGGCCGCCTGGCGCGCGCGCCAGCTTTGCCGCGAAGGCCACGGGTTGCGAACACAAGCCTGCCTACGCACGTCGACGCTGCGCCTGCCAGCGGGCGGGCGCGAGCCAACTCCTCGCACTCTTGCGCTAAAGGCTCGCGCCGGCAACTGCGGTTGCCGACGCGCGGGCCTCCCTCGCAGGAGGTGAACAAAAGACCAAGCAAGGGGAATTTCACGGCCGTGCTTTGACTTTTCCTCGTTCACCCCGTACTCAAGGGTGCACAAGAACTCCCTGGTCACAAAGCGCGCGCTGGCTGCGCACCAAGGAGGCTCCCACGACCAAAAATCGTCAAACAAATTATCGGCGTTGACGAAAAACCACCTGTTCAAGATGTCCCTTAAGCTCCGGAACACCACATTAGCATTCGTCAAAGCGCCTCCCGTGCCGAAATCTTGCGAGAGCAGCTCGCGCCCTGTAACTTGCTTCTCCTGCGGGTGCCAAAACAACGGCACCGCTCGAACAGGGTCGCGGCGGCGACCGATTTGGTGGTGCGCTTTGCGCAGGTCGCCCTTGCAACCTACTGGCGGGGCCCCAGAGGTTCGTTGGGAAGCCACCATCTGCGACAGGATTACCTCGCTGTCCGAACAGACGATCTTTTCGGCGGCGGCCCACGCCAAATTAAAACAGCAGCCCCCTGGTGAGTCGGAGGCGTCAGCGCGCGCGCGCTCCTCCACCGAAAACGACGAAACTGCGCCCTCTTCGTCGGGCCACCGTCGCTGCTTAACGGGAAACTTCCTACAGAAGACCACGTTTGGCCCCCCGCCCTCGCCGGCGAGGAAAAACTCGACCGGGCGGACGGGGCCCAGCGACCCCGTCGACTCAGCTTGCGCGCCATTGGCGCCACAGCTCCTCCGAAAAAGGGTGGTTCCGACGCATCTTGTCGACGAGCTCAAGGTTGCGACCCTGGCTGTGCGCCAACAGCTGCTCTACCGACCACTCAGGCGTCGCTCCTGGCACAGGCGGGGAAATTCCTGACGCAACAGGCACGCCGGTGTCGCGGGGCCCTTGGTGCAGCTCCTCTAAAAAGGCGACCGCTGGCGAGTCGATGAGGCGAAGGAGACGGAGGAAAAAGGAACGTGGGTTGACTAGCGAAGCCTCGTAAGGCAGGGTCAGCCGCTGCCGCCAGACGCATCTGCTCCCCGTGCAATTCGCGTTTCCACGCCCTCAGGAGCGCCAGCCGTTTAAGGCGCACCTCCTCTATGGCGCGGCCGAACCGGCACTGAGCCGCGAGGGCCATGGCGGTGCCCTCGGCGATGA